ACGATCCCTTATTTGCTATAAGTCTATAGATGTGCTTGACCTGTCAGGACGCCGCCTGGTCTTCACTTATCACGTGTGCACGTGATTCGTGACACTAAGAACTCGCTTATATTATAACTAAAAGTTTAGAATCTATTAGGTATAAGAGGATTAGCGTTTCTCGGGAATTTAGCGTTCTTTAGCTTACTTAATTCCTTTATTAAAATCTACTAAATAATCCACTATATAATCTACTATATATTCTATTATATATTCTATTATGTACTCTTCTCTTTAATATACCTAGCTCTTATAATAGAACCTTCTTTAATAGAAATAGACTTTTCTATAGTATAGCTCTCTCGGCTACGCTTATATCTCGCCTAGTAAATAATAATAATTCTAATTTAAAACTATTTCTAATACTCTTATAATTATAACTTATATTCGTTGATATACTAGAATCCTATAAAGAAGACTTAGTATATAATAATTTACTAGATATAAAAGATAATATTATTTTAATATCTTTTACTCTAGCTTTTTTATATACTGGTAATACTCTAACTAATTGTCACGAATCACGTGCTCACGTGATACTTGTCATAATAAGAGGCGCAACCCTCGACAGGCATACCCAGGTTTCTTATAGCAAATAGGGATCGCTTAGAGTAGCTAAGCGATCCAGGGATTTCCATTGGTTATGGTCACATGATTAAGTTGGATCGCTGGATCGCTCGGCGACCTAGCGAAACGGACCGCCAGCTCGACAGGCGAGTTGGCTACCCAGATCATAGTACTTGAGGATAAAGGTTCTATATAAGACTGGCACGTCTGCCATTAGATAGGAGCTTCGTGCTCAACTTAGTTATCAATCTTATCATATTTGTCTGGATCGCTCGGCGACCTAGCGAAACGGACCGCCAGCTCGACAGGCGAGTTGGCTACCCAGATCATAGTACTTGAGGATAAAGGTTCTATATAAGACTGGCACGTCTGCCATTAGATAGGAGCTTCGTGCTCAACTTAGTTATCAATCTTATCATATTTGTTTGACATCTTTGATACATGTAACGAGTTCACTTCCAAGTGAACAACCCGATAGTCTTCTTCTTATCATAGCATACCAACCAGCGAACACCCAGCCAAGTTTAGTTAGCCTGTTTGAGTATTTGTTACATCTAGTTACTACGTATATGATTTCCTTAATATCTAGTTATATATCTTTCGGTATTATAAGGGGTAAATAATAAGTAAATAAACATTTTAAAAAAGTTAATATTCTACCCCCTATAAGCGATAATTTACGGAGTTCCTAATTGTAGCTAAGGGGATACCAAAACCATTACTAAATAAAATAGTTCTTACTAGGGAAGCGTGATACGAATATTAAGGGCTAGTTATCTTTTACTAAGACTTATCTTTTTATAATTATTATATAATAGTTATACAACCGTCCTAAAAGCCCCGGGTTCTCTTATAAGGTAACTATCCTACCCACACTACCTACACTTTCCAATCCCTCCCCCATCCCCCCTAACGCAAGAAAAAGATGTACCTACTATCCCTATTACTACCTCCATCCCCACCTGCATCGCTAGCATCCCAAAATCCCGCATCTAGGTATCTTACATGAATACATTCCCATCCCATCCCAACCCATCGTTCTCATCCCAATCTCACGCGCCCCCCCCCCGCCAAATCTATTCCACATCCAACCAAGCCCTAACAACCTAGCTCCCAACCAACTCAACACACTCAACATACCCATCCCATCCATCCATCAAGATCTATACACCACATCCTCACCCCCTCGCCTTGATAAAAACACACAAAAAGAGTTTCAGATCCCCAAAAGAAAAGGCGGGTATTTCAAGAAAAAACAAAACAGAAGAACCGACAAGAAAAGGAAAAAGTATATATATACTCGTACTGTAATGCAAACCCTCAAAAGGACCACCCCTGAAAAAAGAGGAACGCCAAAAAATCCTTTCCCACAATACGCCAAAAAAACGCTCCAAGAAAATGCGTGTAGCCCTCGCGCCAATGTATTCCACCTATTGAGACCCAAACCGGAAAAGACACAAATGAAAAAAAGATAAAAAAACACACACACTACACCCCCCCATCCGGTAAAAGATCCTCCACCCACCCCATCTTATGCCTCCTCTCATCACAAATCCTCGCATACTCCAACAACAACCGCAGCACATAGATCTGCATATCCTCCGGCCGGAGCACCTTATTCGCCCATGCCTGTCCGGCCAGGGCGATCTTCTCGGCCTTCTCATCGTGTCCCTCGACCGTGATATGCTTCCCCTCGTAGCCCAGGAAATACTCGATGATGCCCCAGAAATCCATGAATCGGTTATCCATGGGTACGAAATGGACCCACGGCATGAGTCGCGAATCATGCCATTCGCGAAAGATGGTCGCTTTGATGGGCAAAGAGGAGGATTTCAGGAATCCGCGGTAGCGTCCCGAGAAGGAGTTGCCGTCGATGTCGGGAAGGTATTTACTATCGAATTGGTCTTGGAGTTTGAGGCCTTCTACGCGCTCAAAGTGGGATTCTGTGTGGCTACAATCCTCACACATCAAATCAACAAATCCTGTGTTCGACCATTCGCTCGTCCATTCTCCTAATCGACCCTCTTCTAGAGCGGCCAAGTGATATTGGCTACTGGGTAGAGCCCAGTTTGCCGGGATTTCCGTCCAATTCTCTGCGCCCGAGATTTTGGTCCCGTTGGACTGAGCCACAAATCGATGACGTTGGAATCCCCTCCAATTACCCTTGGTATTCTTTCCACCAGTTGCAACTCCACGCCAGATGACTTCGTCTAGCTTTTCATGCCAAGGGGCTCCGGTAGCACCACCTCCATCAAACCTTTCCTCCTGACTCCAATACATTGGTGCTGGTAATAAGATTTCGTTGTTGGTGGGAAGTTTGGATCCGCCAAATAGAGGGGCAAAAACTGTCGTCTCGGATACGGAGAGGGGATTAATCATCATTCCATGAAGGGATTGAATATCTGGTTGGTTACAGAAATCAGTAGACATGGTAAAGTTGGAAACGTAACCCTTGTATGTATGTCCTAAAGCGTGGGTGAGTGAAATTGGTGGGGTTCCGTTGAAGCTTTGCATCATCTGTGTATTTCGAGCGGCACTATCTGGGTGACATCCTCGAATCGCAGCTTGCCAATATGGACCTAAAACTGTTAGAAGTATTCGTATACTGGATGTTTGGAACTCACGAGTATCCGTAAAGTTCTTTGGCCGAGGAACTACATCTTTATCCATATCATCGGTGAACTCCTGGAAATCAGCTATAATGTCATGTGGATCGGCAAAGTGTCTAGTGTTTCTTTCAGTTTCCATTAATCGATCGACTTCCTCCCAAGGAGCCACCATTCTTGGTTCATCCATAGCGTTTAGAGGAATATCCATATCTGGCAGCATATCTTCAATCGTCTGGGTCATGTTCATCCAAATCTTCGTCCAGAACCAATCACTTCCCGACTTGGCTTCTTGTTTTCGAATATTGATCGTCATTTCATATGCCATAGCTTCTTTTCGGATCACCTTGGGCTCGAGTCCCCAGAAAGGCGCAAGATCATGGTAAATCTGATCCCAGAAATCCTCCACCATCACAACATCATGGTCTTTGGCGAATCCATACCAGATATCAAATCCTGGAGGTGGATGGCGACCTCTTCGTTCCCGGTATGCTGCTGCTGCTGCCTTTAAGTCCTTGCTCTCCTTCTTCATTATCCCTGCTTGTCTTTTCTCTGCCTTTTCGATCAAGTCATCGATTGGGTGTGGTGGTCTTGAGCCCTTTACAGGCGCGTCCTCGGTATGGTTAGGGGCACTCGCATGCAGGTGTTCCATATGTTCGACCGGCTCAGGCTTTTCTTCAATCGAATTGATTGGAGTTGGAGGATGAGGTGGCGGCGCTGGGGGTTTATCGGTGTCGACATGTTTATCCGCGTCGATTATGGGATTCGAAATGTTGGTGAAAGCTCCATTTGAAGCTGTTAATCTTAAATAGTACATAATTCCAATCACACCAGCGGCCAAAAAGATGTATCGCATCAGGCCCGCGGCTCGGCGCGGTGGCCCTGGATATGTCATGCTTATGGGTGAGTTGAGTTTCATGGGCGGTATACTTGAAAGGGTGGTATCGTGGGTTTGGTTTTGAAGGAGATAATCGCAGAGGCGCAATCGAAGAGGCGATGGGATTGGCGAATATGTCGAGGACGTTTAACTTGACTGAAGAATTATGGAGGTGAAAGCAGAAGCGGATTCCTCGTCATTAAAAAGTGGGAGTGGGGGAATGGAATGCGACGGATCGAGACGAATCCAGACCGGACTACGCAAGCCGATTTAGACTCGAACAACACAAACAGCGGCGTATAAAGGAGTGTGGTGGTCGCGAAACCCAAAAAGAAAATCGGGACCGAGTGAAATCAATTCAACATGAGTTTGTGGTGCATCTACAGTTCGCGTTGGTGGTCTAGAGTCGCAGTCGAGGACGAGAATTCGACTGGGACGGGAGAGGTCGTCGTCGAGGTCATAGGCACCGAACGTGGAGATTTGTTCGCAGAGTGAAGAGGGGAGAATAGTAGGCTAGTGGTGTTGTGGTGTAGTGGTGTTGTGGTGTAGTGGTGTTGTGGTGTAGTGGTGTAGTAGTCCTCGAGCAGTAAAAGAAGTGATCAGTTTCCGCTTGTCGAATGGAGAAGTGAAATAGAAGCAGAAGTGGTATAGTGTCGTCTAGAGAAAAAAAGAAGTATCTTCTCATAGTGGATGGGATGGAAATAATCTGACAGCATCGGTACCATTACGGGTACAGGAATGTCTGGCCTGGCTGGACGTTGCCAGCCTGCGGGTGCGGGTGCAGGTGCCCCTGGTATGCGATAAGCGCTCCGGCGGTGTCACTGAGGCTTGGGCTTGTCTTGGGGTGCGGGTGGTGCAGGTACAGGCTTAGTGAGTATCCCGCTACTACGTGTGCGTAGTGGCTGGCTCAGGCTACTCAGGCTAGGGAACCCTCTCCAGCCTCTAGGGCGCCCTCCGAACGCCTAAATATCTAATCTTGCACCTGGACCGCGGCCATTCCAATTTTGGGAATGGCGCAATCATACTGAATTATATTTACCTTAGGTAATAATAGATTGTAAAAGTGGAAGCGGCCGTGGATTGAAATGTTTGACATTCGAATTCGGTTCGAGTCCCGCAATCGCTTTTGCTTCAATCGCCGCGTCTGATACAGTACCGTACTCGATCAACCAAGATCTGCAGCCCTCTTGCCCTGAATCTTGAACCGCTGCCAAAAAGGGGGAGTGCGGGTGGGGTGAGTTCGGACGCTACGAGCGACGGTAGACGGGACTGGCATCGCTTGGCATATCGCCTCTCATTGCCTCTCATCGCATCGCATCATTTCTTGAAGACAACATCTCCCAAATCATCTCACAGAACTCTGCCTAAACCTTGATATCTCTCTGCTCACCTCATTCTCTCAGCCAGTACGAGACTACAAGACTACGAGACTATGAGACTACGAGACTACCACACTATCACACTACCACACTACCACACTACCACACTACCACACTACCACACTACCACACTACCACACTACCACACTACCACACTACCACACTACCACACTACCACACTACCACACTACCACACTACCACACTACCACACTACCACACTACAGGACCACGGCCACGCGCTGTGCAACGGCTACTGGTCACTGGTCAATGGTCACAGGTTACTGTTACTGCGGTTGACCGTTAATTGGTAACGTCGGCTATTGGTATGACGAGAGATGGCTATCTACTTCGAAGCACTTTCTAAATCTCGTGTTGAAATGTATTTGCAGCATCCAACCGTCCCATCTCCAATCCAGCATCCAGCTGGTAATGCGACGCCGCTACGGACTTGGCACCACTCTGCTCGGGCAATGGCGATGGATGAACCAAACTCAACAATGGGCAAAGTTCAAGCCCCTCCGCCATCATGGCATTTTTAAGGTTCGACACTTGGACTTGGACGACCTATTTTCACACTCCCTACTCGACACCCACTCAACTGCCGACGCTTGTGAGGCAATCGTATTTTCTCATACCTCTATCTACACGTCCTTTACGTACAAAGATATGTAAAGGTACTACCTCGGACCGTATCATTTGGAAAAGGACTTGCAACAATATATCAAAAACCAAAGGGATGATGCATGGTTGTGTCGCGGGTATGCTGATTCATCAACTCGCAGTACTCGAGTACCACTCGGTGTCAAGACCAAAGAAAGACTTTCAATTTAGCATCCACCAATACCGAATCGGGTGAAGGATCAAGTTTTTTTCAAAACTGTCATTAATTAACCTTCACCAATGACACTTGGTAGTTAGGATGTTTCTTTCGTTATAAATTCTTATACCGCATACCTGCTCACCACCTCGTTTCACAGCCACGATAATACCAACCAACCAACCAACATCTTACCTACTGAGCCTCCTCTAGTAGAACAACATCTAACATCAAATTTGTACCATCCAATCGTGATAAAATATAGGTCTACTCCGAAGCAACCCACATTCAACCCCCAAAGCACAACCTAAAAACCATCTAGCAACCCCCAGGCACCCCCACCCAAATCGTGGGCAAGTGGGGGCCGACAAAACGTGGCTCAACCTTCCATTTCTGTTCGACAAAGTCCACCAGGACTCGACTCCTCCGAAACAAAAGTACGGAGTAACAGGCACACGAAGCTCTGAGCACTCGGCTGTCGAGGTTTCGTAATTTCACACTTTTTACTGTAATAAATGATAGGATCATAGGTAAATTTACTAAGGTTTGTATATGAGCTCATATATGCATGCCGAAGGAATTAGATCATGGTTTTTCGGTGATGGGAAGAAATTGAATTTGACGGGTGAGGTAATGGTTTCAAGTGTGTTCTATATTAATACTCTACAGAATTGCGGGTTACAATAAGGCGATGACGGAATTTAGATTTTAAAGTGTGATGTATGTTTTTTGTAGGTCTTTCATTTTGTAGGGATTCTAGAATCTTGGGGGTGTGGGTATTCTACGCGGGCTACGGTAAGCTTTAAATGTAAGAACTCGATTGAATGCAGGTATCTTTTATATCCTTTTGAAGGACAGAGCATTTCTATACGAGTAGAACCTGAGAATCAAGTCTTAGACCGTTTGTACTACCAGCTTAACTTGACCTGTACGCTGTTCTACCGTAGGTTAAGTCCACGGGTAGGTACCGCAAGAAATTGTAAATCCCGTGATCCGTCCCGTTCGCCATGCTGTATTCTTCGCTGTGGTGTTGTACAATTCAGCCGAGTCAACTATCCCGTACAGTGACTGCACCTCTTGTTATTGTTGATTGTACTACAAATTTACCTCATCCATTTTTATTTTTCATTTTGGTATCTACATATGCATTTACCCTACTCATTCCCATCAATTCCAACTTATCTATGATCATATTTTTCTATCCACCTCTTCCCTCTACAAATTTCTGACATCTATCTCCAAGACCACACAGACCCTAACTTACAAACCCGCATCTAGCCATCCACAATTCCCTCCCTCTCTCACATCAACACAAAACCACATGATACCCCCCTATATTGACATCTCCATACCGGCGGCTTCCCTCCAAAAAAGGAAGCTGTTACAAATCCTACCCTGATTGGCCGACTTCCTATCCAGGGAGTCCAAGACCACCAAGCGGCCTTTCTCGGACTCCCAAATCTGCACCACGGTTCGTCCTGCACTTAGCGATCATGAACATCGGAGCCATCGCGTATATCCAACTTTAACGGTCGAGAACAACTTTCACTCGACCGGAGGTAATGGGAAAGGATGGGATGAAGGCCCACCCCGTGCGCCATCGGCTGACCCGAGTTCGGGTTAAGAAGGGAGTGATGGATGTCGTTGAAGATATAAATATGGCGACTTTTCCATTCTCTTAGGTAATTTCACGATTTTTGTTTGCGATTTAGATTTTTACGGAGGAGAATTCGTAATTGTGTCGTGCTAATTGACTTCACTCAGCCGCATCGTTTCGCGCACCTGCCCTGCATCTCATTCTAGAACCCCTCGCTTTGCCCCACCATCACCACCCCGCCATTAACCGCAGGACACTTCCGCCGTTCGTCACAAGCCAGAAGCCCGAAGAGCAACAACAGTCAAACAAATTCAACTACATTTGTATTCCCCGGATCGCCTTTCAAGATGACGACAAACACGATGGTTCAACCAAAGTTCCTCCCAAACGGTGATCAGCTCGGCGTCGTGGCCGTTGGCTTCTCGGGTGGTCAAGTAAGCTCTCCTTTTACATCTATTGGAGAAGCCATAACATCGCATCTAACATAACACCAAGTGCAAACCCGGTGTCGATGCCGCACCCTCAGCTCTGATCTCCAGCGGTCTCCTCACACAATTGCAAGAAGAACTCGGTTACAAACTCTTCCACGATGACACCGTCCACTCGTACAAAGAACTCCTCCCCGCATCCGACCCGGACTACCGCGGGATGAAGAACCCCCTCGCCGTCTCAGCCGTCACCAAAAAGCTCTCAGAGCAAGTCTACGCACATGCGAAAGAGGGACGAACAGTCTTGACACTAGGAGGCGACCATTCTATTGCCATTGGCACCATTTCTGGCACGGCGAAGGCCATCAGGAAGCGTCTTGGACGAGAGATGGCGGTCATTTGGGTGGATGCGCATACAGATATTAATACGCCTGAGGGAAGTGGTAGTGGGAATGTACATGGGATGCCAGTAGCTTTCCTCAGTGGCCTTGCAAAGGAGAGTCGGGAGGATATTTTTGGGTGGTTGAAAGATGAGCATATGATTAGTCTCAAGAAGTTGGTGTATATTGGATTGAGAGATGTTGATCGAGCTGAGAAGGTGATCTTGAGGGAGAACAAAATCAAGGCATTTAGTATGCATGATATTGATAGGTAAGATTGCTTCGTTCAAATTCTGAGGTGTTGGCATGGTACTAACGGGTTTAGACATGGAATTGGTAGAGTCATGGAGATGGCGTTGGGATATATTGGAAACGATACACCGATTCATCTTTCCTTTGATGTCGATGCTCTGGATCCGACGTATGCTCCTAGTACCGGTACACCTGTTCGAGGAGGTCTTACTTTGAGAGAGGGAGACTTTATTGCAGAGTGTGTTCATGAAACGGGATGTATGGTTGCAATGGACTGTAAGTGTTCTCTACTTTCTCCATATCGCACTTCTCTACGAGAGGGCTTGATACAAATCCCGCCTTCTATGAGGATGAAAATGCTAACACACCAAAAGTGGTCGAAGTCAACCCAACCCTCGAACCGGGCCTCAATGACATTGGAGCACATGAAACTGTCCGAGCTGGCTGTTCGCTCGTTCGATGCGCTTTAGGAGAATCATTGCTGTAAACCTGACAGATCAACTTTTTTTCTTCTTGGAATGGCTAGGAAAGGGGCATTTTGGTCGAAATTGGATAAACTTGTAAATTGGATATAGCACGGCATGGTATGGCATGGATGGCGGAATAAAAATATGGAAGGGGGATTTTTGAGTACCGCCAAGATGCTCTTGGATTGGATGGAATTGAATTAGTAGATTCGATGGAGATTTGGAAAAGAAATGAATATCATCTGCTGTCAAGAATCATAGTCAAATTACAGATATAGGAAGGGTAAGTATTCATGGGTACTGCTTGGAGGTTGGGTGTTGGTAGGTAAACAAACCTGCCAACGAGTAGGTCGCTTCCAGCCTCCGGACTTAAGAAGCCTGAACTGGGCTCGGCGCCGGCACGGCGTCCAGCCACCGCTAAACAGCACGCGGTTACAGTGACGCAGCGCCCAGCCCCCCGCGATAGCGATGCGATACAGGACTCGAGCTTGTTTCTCGACGGTGTAAGCAGACACCTTCACCTGTTTGTCACCTCACTACTTAACACGAATGAAGGCAAGCTTGTGCGATCAGCTGAATATCAAGTGAGGCATCGTTGTCACATCACATTATTCACTCGCTTATCCCCCTTTATTCTTCGCTTGTCGAGTCGAGTCGGATTTCCTATATGGTTGATTTGTTACTACTGTACTCGATTGACCGCCTGCAACGAAACGAAACGAAACGGAACGCAACGCAACGAAACGCAGCGAAAACTCCACTTTGCACAACGCATACGTCTTACCATCGTAGCGCATCGGCATCGCAGGATTGCGCGCAGAAATTCGGGACGGGGTTCGACGAGTGTACAACGAAGGAAAGGGACGAAGGGAAGGAAGCAAATCGGCTCAGATCAGCGCGTTGCATACTCGCAACCAATTACTGTAATAAAGCGAACTACGAGCTACGGACGAGAAGTACGGAGGGCTGGGGTGGTTGTTGCATGCATGCATAGAGGCCTGATCGACTTTACCAGTTAGGTACTGTACTGTACCTTGCACGCCTGCCTTCCTAGGAGTTGGGACGAATTGCAAGTGGGGAGAGAGAAGGAATTGAGTTGAGGCGTGAGCTACGTGGATCCCGCCTTTGCCAGCGAATCTGGGCGTCTCTGGCTGTTTTCCCCGGGCGGAGACTTGTGCGCCGTTTTCTGGAGGGTGTGATTTTGGGATTAGGGGCTGTGATCTGGAGTAGGGAGTTCCTTTTGAGGTGTGGTTTGTGTTTGGGATTGCTTTTTTTGTTGTTGGTGTTGTTTGCTGTGAAGCGTGCGCAGTTTGTTGCGAGTTCGTTGCGATACCCCGAACGAGATAGGAACTGATAGAGAGAGATTGGACGTGGATTGGAGTTCTGCTGAATTGAATTGAATTGAGTTTGCGAGTTGGGATCGAGATTCTGTCAGGACGAGATAAGACGGAAAAGAAAGGAAAGGACAGCAGAGTCATCGATTCGATACGCAACCAACGCCTCGAGGGAGGAAGTCTGGTTCTTGTTACCTTGACGTCCTTGATATTGACGACGAACAAACGAATTATCACAACTCCACCCCCATCGCGAACCTCTCTCCATCCTCCCTCGAAAGAGCGGAACAAAGACATACTTCAAGATGGCGTCCCGAACCACATCCAGCACCATGACCGAAGTCATTCTACAAAGGGTGCGAACAAAATACCACTGGCAACCCCTCCCATTAAACTTCTGGATCCTGATCATGTTGATTGGATCTTCGACGATACTAGGGATATTCTCGTACTTTGTTACGGTGCAGAATCAATTACTTGTTGGAATACCATGGTACCTACCCTTTTCCCACCCCCTCCACATACCATATCCCATATCCCCCCTTCACTCTCCCCTCATCCCTCCTCCCCCTCTGACTCTAAAACAGGTACTTTCCCTACTGGATCACCGTCTCCGCCCTCTCGGTCCTTTTCATCCTCCTCATGCTCTACCTCATCTCCCAACGACAACTCCTGCCCGGCATCGTCATCATGGGCTCCTTCATCCTCTTCGTTTTATGGCTCGTGGGATTAATCGTGATTAGTATACAACTTTGGGGCCCTGTGGGTAGCGTGAATGGGAATTGTGAGTTGTATGTTGAGAGTGCCAAGGGGAGTAGTCGGGGTGCGAATGAGAATGCGTTGGCGTGGTTGGAGCAGAGTAGTATTTGTAAGTTTTTCCATCTACCTATTTATCTTCTTCATTTTCTCCTTTGCTTTGTTTGTTGGGGGCACTGGGGGTCAGACTAGTGATTAAGGAAGGGCTTTGGGTGTTAGGATATTCATGCTCATTCGTTTCGGTCTTACAGGTCAGAGTTGGAAAGCAGCTTGGGCGTTCCAGCTTGTGGGGTGTATTTTCCTACTCTGGATGATGATCATGGCTTATCAGGTCTATCGGGAAGATTAATCTTTTATCTTTGCACTTTTTTCCTCTTTTTCCTTTCTACTTTTTGGTTTTTTTTATCTTGGCAGATTTCTTGATTTCAACTTTTATTTGTATTTTTTACTTGTGAAGGGTGGTATGGAATGGGATGGGATGGGATGGGCATACGCATACTCATACGCATACGCATACTCATAGTTATGATGTATATGAAGGACATGATGGTATCTTGATGCGTAGGGATGATATGGCATGGGATGGATGGGGATTAGAATGTATATACATGTCGTGATTTTTGAGAGGTTGGCTAGGTTGGTAGGTTGGTAGGTAGGTAGAAATGGAGATGAGATGAGATGAGATGGTATGGTATTATAAGATAATCTATCCGTTTCTTAGATCTGGATCTTGGGTTTTGGATTTTGGGAGAAAGAGAGGGGGAAAGGGGATATGGTAGGGTGTGGTAGGGGGTAATTTAGATGTTATCTTATCTGATCTGATCTATGTCTTTGGCCTGGGTTTGTAGGATGGGTGTGATACTTGGAATGTTTGTGATGTTTGTGGGTGTGAGTAAGTAAGAGTAAAAGTGAGTAAGAGGAAGCAAGGTATTTTTAGAACTATAAAGCAGGGTTAAATAGGAAGAGAAGGGACGGGTAGTACGGGAGGGATTCGTACTATACTATACTATACTATACTATACTACACTATACCCTCAATCCCTTAACTCTCCTCATACGGACCTCAAGACTCGTAAGCCATAATTTCCTTTCTCCTTTTTCTTCTTCCTCTTTTCTTCTTTCCCTTTTTTCTTTGTAGGGGAGAAATAGGTAAGGGTAAGGTAAGGTTATTCTCCTTCCTCACTATACTTGGAATACTAATATCCTGGGGAAAAAACACTTTGTACTCGGTTATTTGGGGTTTATTGGGAAGTGTGATTGCAAGGTCGATGGTATGGTATATCTGGAGAGGATGGGATATTTATACATAGATAGATTTGAGTTTTGAGTTCTAGGTAGAATGAGAATGAGAATGAGAATGAGAAGTGGAAATAGAAATAGAAGTGGGAATAGAGATCTTGGTAGAGTGGGGTAGTACGGCATCCTGAATGTACTAAAAGGTCGAATAGACTTAATACTAATTCGCAAATCGCAAATCTTATATTTTGATCTTATTTAGTACGAAATTATAATTCGCAAATCGTAAACTAGGTAGCTCAGGGTTAGGGTTATATAATAGTACTAGAATTAAAGGTAAAACAACTCGATATAAGTAATTAAGCTTAAATTTAACTCGAACGCTTCTTTAACTCTACCCGCCCCTACCCTTAGACTTTACGTGCCTAGTTATTTTTACTTGTACACCCTTACTACCTTCCTACACTTACTATCGTTTATACTTACTATTATATCCTTACTACTATATCCTTACTATCGCGTCCTTATTATCGTATTCTTATTATCGCTATTGTAAGGAAAAGAGAAGAGAGAGCGGGGAAGAGCGAGAGGCGCGAAGGTAGGTAGCAAATAATGTTTAGCGTAACACGTACTAGCCTAGCCGTTTTAGGAAGGTAGTATTCGGGGCTAAGGATAAGCGACGTATATAACTAAACTATTTCTCCGCCTCTCTCTCTCTCTCTCTCTCTCTAAATAATATACTAGGGCACAACCCTATCTAATAATAAGGATACGATAATAAGGATACGATAGTAAGGATACGATAGTAAGGATACGATAGTAAGGATACGATAGTAAGGATACGTCGACAGCGAGGGTAGGCGATAGTAAGGATACGAGGGTAGTAGGTAGGTGTATAAATATATACGTAAAAATATAAGGTCTAATCGCACGTGAAGTTAAGAATAAGGTAGGGGTGTAAGGGTATAGACCCTCTAGTATAATAGTAGTAAATATAACTTTTGCGATTTACGATTTACGAATTAGTATTAAGTCTATTCGACCTTTTAGTATATTTAGAATACCGTAGGTAGAGAGGATTAGCTTTTTTATTATTTATTGTTTATTGTTTAGAGATAGGGTACAGCTACTGTAACGAATACTCAAACTGGCTAACTAAACTTGGCTGGGTGTTCGCTGGTTGGTATGCTATGATAAGAAGAAGACTTCAAATATGATAAGATTGATAACTAAGTTGAGCACGAAGCTCCTATCTAATGGCAGACGTGCCAGTCTTATATAGAACCTTTATCCTCAAGTACTATGATCTGGGTAGCCAACTCGCCTGTCGAGCTGGCGGTCCGTTTCGCTAGGTCGCCGAGCGATCCAGCGATCCAACTTAATCATGTGACCATAACCAATGGAAATCCCTGGATCGCTTAGCTACTCTAAGCGATCCCTATTTGCTATAAGAAACCTGGGTATGCCTGTCGAGGGTTGCGCCTCTTATTATGACAAGTATCACGTGAGCACGTGATTCGTGACATATATACTTAAGCCTTACCTATATATATATAGCTCGTTATACCTACGTAGCTATACCTCTATATATTAGAACGATATATACTTCGAGAATAAGCTAGTACTTAATTAACCCTATAAATACGTCTTATTTATACGTCTTTCCGACCGGTAGAAGTGCTACTATATAGGCGTAAAGAGCCGCATACGCTATAGACGAGTTTAGTATTCCTACCCGACCTACTTTTCCTTCCTAAAGTAGTAGGTATTCCTATACTTTACCTAAAGTAGTAGGTATTTAGAGTTTAACGTTCTAGCCTATATAAAGGATTCTAGAGTCTCTTTTAGAGATCTAAGGAACAAGGAAAAAATCTATATTAAGATAAGAGTATTACACTAGATTAATAATAACGATATATATCGGATTATCGCGATAAATTATTCTACGATTCCGATATCGATTATTAAAAAAGTAACGATTTTTTATCACTGTACTCGTATGATAAAAGAGTCTGGTGCTCTATCAAGAGAACCGATAATATCAGCAGATATAGGCAGGGTCTGGACAGCTTGCGTCTCCTCCTCCCTTGTACTTCGTGTACGACTTTCTATAAGCAAGGTACAACCCTACGGTATAAAGTTTCAAGCCATTTAGACTGTCTGATTAATGTGGACGTATTTCAGAGATTGATGAGGTGGGAGCCCGCGGGCTGTCCAGACCCTTGCCTTCGAAAGAGAATCAGTACTGTACTCGTAGACTGTAGTACTGTACGCAGAGAAAAGCTCAGATTTAGCCGATACTTGACCCGCTTTTTAATTAATCCGCTTGCCAAGTACCTACGTTCATGGATTAGTCTCGTGGGTTGGTGGAGGAGATTCGCTTTTCTGTTTAAAAATTTGCGTGGAATTTCATGTACAGAGAATACATTGATCAAATTTCGTCTTACATGTTTGCTTGCTGAAAGCTAGATCTGTGCTATGGTAACCCTGGATTTGCTGGTTTGACTAATTAGACTATTACAACCGCCGTATAATAGATTTGCGGAATACTACTATAGACGTTCCTAATACGATAATCTATTTTATAATAACCTTTTGTTATAGCTTATTATGGTGTAGAACAAGTAGGGTGGTAGGTATAGAATAAGGAATAGAATATAGCAAGTAAACATTTTATAACATATAAATCTATATAAGGGTCTATGTTCCCCGCCCCTTGTTGCTTCTCCACTATATTAGTTTCTTGATGTGAGAGGCCAGACCTCGAATAGCTCAAAGGTGTGGTTTCGAATATTCAATTAAGAAGTGCGTGAAGACTACATACATACAAGCTCTTTCTCTATATATAGAGAGAGGAAGAGCTTCTAGAATATTCCAAGAAACTGCTTAACAAATACATGATGTCAAGAGAATAGAACAGAAAAGTATAGAATAGAAGAGACTTGCTTGGCAGTGGGGTTATGGCCAGTGCTGAGCAGGGACTTTGGTCAGTGCTTAGCGAGGGCATGGCCCGAGCCTCCATCATGGGTTCCAACCCTCACACTTGAATATAGACGCTACCGACCCGGCCATATCGCTATAGAGTTAGTGTAGGACGTAAACTAAGGGCGAGACAATAGTAATTGGGAATAGCTTTAATTTTTACTTGTTTGGATTTAAAGAACTTACAAGGCGTTGTGCTTTAATCCGATTACTTATTAGTTTAGGTTGCTTTATTTACTTTCCTAGGCAAGGTGTGTGGTTTAATAAATAATTAACTTCAATTATTAATTCAAATAGCGAATAATTCGCATCCTGGAAGTGATTAAATAATGCTGTCTATTCTACTATACGTACCAATTGACGAATTACTAGTAGTGTTGATCAATTCGTTGATTTGAGGGTTACAATAGCACAGATCATGTTAACAACGGATTAGTAATCTACATACAGCGCTCAAACTCGGTTGACGATACATCAAGTCATCATATACTCATAAAATAATGTCCGTTCATTTTTTTTATGGTTGGAATATGATTCATCTGAACGGGCTCCGAATGAAAGCTTCCCAAGGACTGTACTGTAAGATCACTGGGAACCCCATATTTAGCGAAGTCGCAGCAGGACTAGTGATACGATTGATGACTAAGTACAAGAGAGACTTTCCATGTCTGTCCTGAGTACTCAATCTATGTTTCACTGATTAGTGCTTAATAGTGGCTCTATAGCGGTAAATGATAAGCGCCATATATCCACATTATGAAGTTCTACATTAATTTGAATTCTACTCTGTTGAATCTGCCACTTCTATTAATTATCAAAAAGCACTGAGCACACACTTCTAAGAAAATTACAGAATTTGTTTCGATATCTCTTATCTAGATTAATTCTATTAAGTTTCCAATTTCATTTAGCGTTAGACGGCCCGCAATCATTGGCAATTTTGGCAAGAGTTCTAATCTAAAATGTTGATCGGGTTTCCATCCGTCTCGAGCAATCTGCCTCCTTTCCAAACATGCGTGATATTCCTTGGCTCGCTAAGAACCTCAATATCATCAAGTGGATTCAGCGTTGGAAAAAAATTAATCAACTAATCAATTAATACTCTGAATTATTCATATTTGAATTGATTTGATTTGATTAATAGGTCTAGTTGGTTTGATTTGATTAACCGATTTGGTTAATTAGATTATTAATTGATTAGTATATAACTTACTGTAAATAGTAACTATAAATAGTAACTAAAGTACAAAGTAATTGTCCTCAAATAACGTATCTTTTAGTAGTATATCCTTGTCCTTATTTACGAAAAACCCCTAGCTTTTTAGGCTTATACTAGTATAGCCTTTAGAGTCTCTTTTATTATTATATTCCGATTTAGTACCTTGGTAAGATAATTTAAAGTAGGTTATATGATTTTACGTAACCCTATACTAGTTATAACAAATAATGAGTACTATAAGCCTTTTAGTAAATCAAGGGAAGACTCTTATTATATAAATGTTTTATAAGCTCTACTTATGCCTTCTAGAGGTAGGGGGGCC